TGCTGTTACAAGTCTTTCCTTATTACTAAAAAAAGGTAGAGTGAGAATTTGACTCGATAAAAGATACTCGTCTGACTTCGCATTCCTGAGCGCACGTGCTGAAATTTTTCAAAGACAGGAATTGTGTCGTTCGGCTTTGTTCTATATATTTTAGCTAGAAAAAAGGACAGGCTTGAAATATACCTGATTCGTTTCTGTTAAAGCTAAAATTCTTGATTTTAGAAATTTCGGGAATATGAGCATGTGCGCTCAGAGATGCGAAGTAAGGCGAGTGATTTTTATCGAGTCAAATTCTCACTCCACCTGTTTTGGTAGTATCTAAGCGATGGAAATGAACAGAAGACATAAAATAATCAACAAATTAAAAAGAAAAGTTAAGGTTAGTACAACAATTTATCCATGACCCATGCACCATCGAAGCTCGATGAGCGAAGTAGTCGCGCTACAGAGGACTTATGCGGCGCGGCTGTGTAATAKTCTACATATTTATGAAATCTCAGTTTTGATTTATTTACGTCTGAAAATATGTGATTTCGTTGAACATTRTCGTTGCGATTTCATGTTTTTCGGCTGTAGCCGTTCATCATAATTCGTAAATGAGTTGGAAATTATGCAAAGCTTCTTTGTGATACACTAGTATACACTGGAGCGAAAATTCTATAAYGAATCAGTTCGATMACAAGACAAGTTAAATTGTAAGTTAAATCGTCAGATCGTGAAATGTTCGTATATACATTTATATAGTAAAGCAGTAGATATCTTACAAAATCAAGCCTGTAAGCACTCWTGATAAGTRATAGTCATATCACGTGTTCGAATTGTCACTTACGATGACATATTTCATTGTTTTCGCACTAACTRTAAGTGGCTTTGCCCTTATAGTAAGTGGCTTTGCCCTTATAGTAAGTGCAAATGACGATGACGTCGTGATTGTAGGTTACCATAAGTGGGAATGCGTATTCACACTCATGATAAGTGCAAACGATCAAAGCGACTTATCGTGAACTACAAGTCGGATTTATAAAATCAGGTCGGAAAGATTTCTGCAGGTGTTTAAGGTGATACCGAAAAGCGTTGAATGCTCTGAAATTTCCGTGTGCCAAAAGCGTTGTCCTGAATTTTAGGAATCCAGGAACTTAAGATTACATTGAAAGAAAAGCCTGAGAAGACCATTGAAGGTGAAAAGTCGTTTTTCTGTAATTAATTGTAACTAAAAAGATAGTGTTTTCACAATTATATTGCTTTCCTCGGTTCAGCGCTTTTGTTCAAAAACATTCAAATAGAAACTTGTCTAKTAGAATACTGATAAAAACAATCCCTTTCGAATGGGACGTCCTCACGTACAACCTTTTTAAAAAATCGGTATACTTACCTCGATTTTGCTTAAGAATGTTTGATTTTCTTGCTCATCTCGTTCGTTTRTGAAAGAGTCTATCAGCGATTCCGTTCCGTCCAACCAATCATTGACGTTCTTTTTTAAATTTGCCATCTCYAMGAACTTCTTCCTTGCCTCTTGAAGCTAAAAAAAAATAGGAAAAATAGAAAGCAAACAATAAGAACCATTGTTAACCTTAATAATATTTACCCGTGCTTTTCTTCTTTTTGCACGATTCAGCTCTGTTTTCCAGCATTCACWGAAGTCATTAGTCTCGTTTCGGATTAATTCTGCCGTTTTATACTGGTATTGGGCATCGGAGATGAGCTTTTCACCTATCTCGTGAAAATCGTTGACTAATCCTTCATGGTATTTGATCTCATTAACAAGACTCTGAAATGAAAACAAATGGATTGTTTTTATTACAACTTTCGTTATATAATTGCTTTGATATCGTTCTAAGTACCTTCAATACTGCAGTGTTAGCATCCACTTGGTCTTCATCGGAAATGTCAATTATATCTGATATTTCCGTGGCTTCGTCCTTATCAACYAACCAATCATAGAACTTCTTTTCCATCTCGCGGAACGCCTCCCAGTCAGCTATGACGTCAKACAAGCGGTTTTTACGTTCCTCGCTCCAGTTCCACACCGCCGCCCAACGYTCACTTAGCGTCTTGACGTCCTAAAAGAAAAGTTAAGGTGTTCGTAAGGGTACCTTTTCAGGTCCTTTTGTATCTCCCTATAGRTGTCATGCTCGTTTGGAAATCGTTTTTCTTGACAGGTCGAGTGAAAAGAGCCTTATAGCTGTCACCCCTACCTGGTGAAGGGCGCTGTCAATACTTGGGTCGTCTAGGTCTATCTCTAGSATCATATTCACGGTGGAATTCGCCCCGACTTCCTTATGGAACTCCTGCGTGTAGAGCGAACCACAAGGTTAGTGAATATTTAT